ATAATGGGAAAATATGGAATCTGCTAATTTGGCGTCGGAAATGAGCTAAAACTATACCTCACGCACATGAAATCGTGACTTCGTACATTCTTGGCAAGGTTTAATGCTTCGCTTTTGCATTGTTCACCTTGCGTGACGGAGTGCTCGTCAATAGGAGTGCTCGTCAATAACTCCCGATCAAAATGAGCTAGCCAGTCGGGACAGCCATCAATGGACTCTGCAAGACTGGTCGAATCAAATGTTATGCAGCATGTCCTCCTTTCAACAGCTTCGTTACCTCTGTTGCCCTAACATGACATTGACCTAAACATCCTAATTCCTAAATTGCTTCACCTAAGCAAAAAGGCATATAAATCGACGCGTCTGAGAACAGAAAACACGATTGTATCGAAATGACGAGAATGCGACCTTTTATGCAAAGTTATTCACCAAAAACCGATCCAATGCCTTGGGGCCCTTGGTCACTGATATTATTTTAAGATTTCAAATGATCCATTTTTCCCGCCTAAGTCTTTCAATTCAAGGTCATAACACCAGGTCACGTCAAGTGACCTTACCTCAAGGAAAGTTCCTGTGCTCATCATATATAAATACATCGACTAACCGATCGCTTTAGAACCTTCAGCGATTTCAATGGGCAACAGTATATGTATTTAAACGTTTACTTTGCAAGTTTGGCATTGCTGACAGAAAGGTCGGGTCAATTTTGAGATCGCTAAAGTCAATGGGAGAAAGTTGAACTGCGCTTTTTTTTTTGACGGAACGCATAATAAACACTCTGAAAACATGTGGTGCCTGATGAGATACAATACTGAATGAGAAAATTGTTTGTTTTGTTGGGAGCCATCTTTTTCGGTCTGAGAAGGCCCTTGCAGAGCTATGACATAACTATGCTCTGGTGTAGTAATTTGGTTGTGCGAGCCAGCGACAGTGATCTGCGGACTCCGGAAGCGTGACTGTTCCCGTGGGACGATTGCCCTGTCGGGCGGTCCAGCCGTCTCCCCAACGGTCACCCGAAGAGGGTTATGTGTCTTGGAATGGAACCGACATCAACTACAGGTTGGCTGGTGGGGTGACCTCCAGTCCAGAGAGGGAAGCATGAAGACTAGGGGCGATGCGGATTGGTTTTTCCTGAGGATAGCGAGGACGGAAGGAATCTAGCACCCTTGACCCTTCCTTATACTGAATGTATCTCAGGCTGTTAAATCTCCTAAGCGTTTTTTTCTCGACATCGTCAAGGTGTCATTAATAAAAATATGAAATCCGGGAGGATAAATTAAATATAGAAATTGTGGCCAACAGAACATTATCAGTTGCGTTCAACATACTCGTAAGCATGATCACACCCCCAGCTTACACATGAGCCATGTGATAAATATTTTTGATAGACATGCTTAAGTTATGAAATCATCTAAAGTGTTTGTAAAGTTCCACGATACGGATCTAATATCCTGCTATCCATCATGACCATTTCTGGTCAGGTCATGTCTTTGAACATAGGCCAAATTCTTCAAATGACCTCCCTCGCCGGCAAAGGTAGGGAGGGTTGATGCAACCCCCCCCCCCCTCCTTAAGGTTTTTCGCGAATAACTCGCGTAAAAAGCGGCCGATCGCGACGAAACTTTCAGTACCCTCGCATTGATAAATTTTACACCTACCCTAAAAATTCCAGGACCCTGACCCAAATGACCTTTGACCATCTGAATCACCTGAAGGTCAGGTCAGGTCATTGACCTTTGGTGACCTCGGTTCACTTTTTCGAGTTTTACATGTTTCTACGCTAGATTTTGGAGCTGAATTCGAATTTAGCAACCATTTGAACATTTACGAAGTAGTTTTGGTGCCTTCGTAACATGTTACGAAGCTGTCAGAGGCGGATGACAGCTATTACGAATACCCGTCGTGACCCCTACCGGTTGACCTGACCTGACCTGACCCGACCTGGTCTAAATGCTTTAAGACATCATCTCTGATCAAAACTACACGATATTCGTGATCAGCCCCCGGAAAACCCCATAGCAGTCACACTTTACGACTTTCTAACAGGTCCCCATTTTCCCGATTTTCGGGTCATTGACCTGACCTGGAAGGTCACCCGATGACCTAGGACCTTAAAATTGGGTATCATCGGCTTCCTCTCGTGACGGGCAACACGCTCGTTTTTTTTCCGCGAAGCTCTAGCTCAATCAGGGGCCAAGCGCGAGGGGGGGGGTCGTGCCCCCCCCCCCCCCCCCCCTGTGCCGTCGAAGGATGCAAAATAGCCTGTGCCGGCGAGGGTTAAAGATCACTTTTGATTCATTCTAGGCGTTTTGATAAGAGGAACACGAGGCTGGTAAAATTAATTTCATGCAAGTTTAGCTTAAAACTTCTAGTGTTTGTGGAAAAGCAATTGGTTTTCTCATAATACCGATGGTGGCAGTTGCTGTTATTTACGTGCTAAGCCGTTGACCTTAATTAAATCTGACAATATTATTCAGACATAGCGGTAAACGAGCTGCTTGTTGTGTTAGGTTAGACTCTTACGGTCGATTTCAGAGTGGGAAGGATGACAGGAATTAGGGGGAGACAGGGGGCCTGGGCGGGAGTCCTGAGCCTCATGCTCCGCTGGGGCCGAGCCCATCACGTGGATTGCCCTGACACATGGATAGCCCTGGGCGGTGTTTCACGGCCCCGCGCTGCAGCACGCTGCGCTGCGCTGCCATGCATTGTAGCGGCGGTTGATATGAATTCGGCTCCACGCTAGCGTTACGAGCTTCGGAGTCTGTTGATGTTTCCATGGAAATTGGAAACCCAATGCACCGGTGCGCACAACGCACCCTGTCCAAGCAAAATTTTACCATCGATGACCTCTGGTGACATGACCTTTTGCTCCGAACCAATCTAAAATTGGCTGAAGTATTTTTTTTTTTCTTCTTTTTGCTACTTTCGACGCTACTTCGAATACCACTTAAATGCCCAAATTAGAAGAGTCAGACATTTTGTTTTTCTCACAGACAATGACAATACAAAAATAATGTAATATGACCAGACGTTTCGACAACAAAGTGTCTTCGTCAGCGGAAAACAAGATATAGACTTTACATCGATAAAAAATATATATTTTATGTATATTCTTTATCTTCTATATTTTTTATCGATGTAAAGCCTATATCTTGTTTTCCACTGACGAAGGCACTTTGTTGTCGAAACGTCTGGTCTTATTACATTGTTTTTGTATTGTCATTGTCTGTGAGAAAAACTAATGCCCAAAGCTGAGTTATAAGAATGATGCTCAATCCCCATTTCCCCTCCAACAGGGCATGAGAGTCTAGGCATTCCTGTGGGGCACGGGCTAACAATGACTATCTCATAATCATTGTGGTCATGAACATCTACTGCCATTCTTTAACACGGGTTTCGCTGCGCTGAGCGGTGGCCGTCTCGTTTGTTGGATTCTACAGCTGGCTGGCGGAAAGCGTTACCGGCCGCCCGTCCACCGCCCGCGGGCCGGACCGAGCGATCCCGCTGGCCCTACCTGACCTGAGCCCGGCGCGATATGGGACGGGCAGACGGGGGTTCGGCTCAGCGAAGGCAGCGCCCACTGGTGCTGGGGACTTTTTTAATAGACCTACTGTACATAAAGCACTTATGCATATTCCTCAGTTCTGTCCCCGTGGTGGCCGTTTTGAAACTAACTGCAATTAAATATGTTTATTCCGCACCCATTTCATTTCAGTTGACAAGCTTTCCATTTTAATCCATTCTGCTTTCATTAACCTTCCAGGCGGTGGGGGGCATTTTTTTGCCCCCCCCCCCTTTAGTTTTTTCGATATATCTCGAGAACCGCTGCGCCGATCGTCACCAAACTTTCAGTACCCTCCTGGGAGTAGCTAGCGCACATGGTGACCAAAAATTTTTTCAAAGGCTATGGTAGGTTGGCCGCTAATGACGTCAGAGTGACGTCATTTTTGCCATTTTCGACCCCCAAAAAAAAGGTTTCGCGGGGAAGAGCTGTCAGGCCTACAGCTTTAGAGCTACAGAAAAATGTTCCAAACATAAAAGGTGTGAAATCAAGAGGGCTACAAAACTGCTATTTCAGTTTTTCGAATTTTTTTTTGATTTTGACCCTCACAAATAAAAAATATATATTTTTGAATGTAATAGCCGAAAAATCATAAGTTTTTTGAATTTCGAAAAAAAACGGAATATATGTGATAGTCCCTACCGCCTTCTATCTACATACCAAGATCGATACCTCTTTTTTGGCCAAGTTATAGCGAAAAAAAACTTTTAAAATTGATGACGTCAAATTTTCAAACTAAATTTTTAGCAATTCTAGACCTCGTAGCGCAAAACAAAGACCACCATTAGACTCCCCGTGACGAGCTGCATCGAATCGATACCCATTTTATGCAAAATATCAACTTTGAAATTTGACCTTTTTTGACCTGACCTTGACCTGACCTCCACCAGAAAGTGACCTAAACCGTACCTGATGGTCTTATAACCAATACCATTGAGTTGGAAATGAAAAACTGGCCATAAAACATGCATCGCACAACCTTAGTAAAGTTGGGTTCATGTGGTGACCCTTGGTGACCTTTGGTGACCTGACCTGTGACCTGACTTGGTATGACAAGTGACCTCTAATAGCAACATATGTACTAGACAACTGACGCCTTATCGCTGATTTTCGACAAAATGCGTTAGTACTCGGTGTTATAGCGCTTTCCCTAGAAGCCCCGTGAACGGTGAAACATTTTATCTTTGACCTGACCTGTGACGTCATCGGTGACCCCGAGGTCAATGAAATTTGGTTTTCTTCGACAAATTTGACAGGGCTATCGAACACCGTTTGAATTTTCCGGATCCGTCTAGTAGTTTCGGAGATACGAGGGGGGCCAAAAATGCCCCCCCCCCCCCCCCCACCGCGCGGAAGGTGGCTGGGAGGCCCACCGCCTGCCGGGTTGAATCGGACATGTTCTGTGTTCAGTTGGCATGCGAATGCTACAAACAACGCGTTTGCCTCGTAGGACCTCGTATTTTTAATTACATTCCTCGCCTTGAAAACATCATTTTTTACATGTTTTGCCACGACCCTCTGTTAAAAAATGCCCTTAATTCTATGAAAGCGCCGACCAATAATCACCGACAAGCCACAGCGTTTAGCGGTTGACAGTGGTCCTCAACGGATCGCGACCTAACACGCTGACAATGCAGCGGTCACAAAGGGTCATGCAGAGCACTATCAGCAGAAGTTGTCACAATACATCTGACAGCGGTCCCCAGTGGGCCTGAATATGCAATATTAGCCGGCAGTAATCCGCAGCGAACTACAGGTCATAGACCCGATCTTAGAGGGCCACAATGAAACAGTCATGGCCCATCCATGGAACAGCGTACCTCTGGACCTTCACAATCGCCAGTAAATACTGCAACAGCATATCATCGTGCCAACCACCATCCGCCACCCCCGCTCCCTCCCGGGCATGTCCCTGGCCCATCGTCATATGCAGCTACCTTAGACCCGTGGCACAGCTAGACGCGCAGGTAGCAGATGACGCTGGCGCTGCTGTCGGCGCAGCTGGCCACCTTCCACCCTCCATCGGCCCCCTCCATCAGGACGCACTCGTCGTCCCCGAAGGCAGGCTCGCCCGCGGCCCAGTTGGTGTATGTGACCGGGTCTCCCGAGGGCCACAGGAAGTCAGTGTCGTTGGAGAACCGCCACAGGCCGAGCCATACGCTGTCGGCGCCACCGGAGAGCTCCTCGAGCTGAAACCAGGGGCGGGGCGTGAGCAGGGGATGGAACAATCCTCTCAGAGCCACCAGAGAGCTCCTGGAGCTGAAATAAGGGGCGGATGTCAGCAGGGGACGGAACAATCCCCTCAGAGCCGCCGGAGAGCTCCTCGAGCAGAAGCAAAGATGGGGTGTTTGCAGAGGACGGGGCAGTCATGGGACAATCCTCTCCAGTGGCGTACGCACATACAGGACATTCCGTGCATGCCCTGTCCCTTTGGCTCATCGTCCCCGGCGCCCTCAGTGACTGGCGCCCCTCTGTCCAGTGTTGGCGCTCCTCCAGTCGATAGCGGCGCGCTTCTAGTTGATGGCGAAGCCCCTCTGTCCAGTATTGGCGCTCCTCTGGTGATAGTGGCGCCCTCCTAGACGATATGGTGGGCCGGTGGCGCCCCTTTGTCCAGTATTGGCGCCCCTCCAATCGATAGCGTCGCGCTCCTAGATGATGGTGGGTGGCGCCCCTCTGTCCAGTATGTCAGTTATGTTCGTTCCGCACGTGTACGAACATAACTGACACATTCAAGTTTCAGATATGTGACGCCCTCCTTGTTGTTGGCGCCCTCCTTGATTGGCGCCCTCTCGTCCAACGCCCTGGTCCTTCGCAAATTCCTCGGTACGCCACTGATCCTCTCGGTGCCATGGAGAAAGCTCATCGAGCTGTAATAGGGATAGGCGGCGTCAGAAGGGACAGTCCTGGCTGGTGTTGGGGTGGAGCGGACGTGTGTCTTTGAAGGGAAACATGTTTGCATTAGCACAAAGGACCTGGCGGTCGGCAGTGCTGTGTTACCGTGCTCACCGTCAGCTCATCCCTATAGCTGTAGATCTCGGGCAGCGTGGCGGCCGGCTCGAAGTCGCCGCAGAGCACCAGGGCGTCATCGGCCGTCATCGGCGGGAAGGTCTGTGTCAGCGACAGATGGCAAACGCCGGCGGCCGTTTCCACCCAGCCGGCGCCGCTGGGACACGCCGACAGCGCCGCCCTGGCGGACAGCAGCAGAAACACGGTACTCAGACGGTGCATGGCTCAGGTCTGAGGAGCGGCGCAGCAGGGTATCCGGTTTTGATGCCTTTATTTTTCCCACGGGCGGAGTCTGGGCCCAGGAGCGGACTCAGTACTGCATGGCTCCATGAAAGGAAGAGCACGATTGACACTTGTTTCAAGTGGCAGCCAGAAAGTAATGTGCATGCCTATAAATGAGTAGGCTTTTGTTGTAGCCTGATAACTTGGATAGGTATATTGTGATTTCAGTCCCTTCAACATTTTCTACACACGCCGCTGTCGAGCCCTTATCTCAGGTACGGCCTCTCCGTGCGAGTCTGAGCAGCCTGAAAACGGCGCTCCGGCCGCTCGACGCGCCACTTGTCCGCGATGGTCCGTCTGAGCTGCGCAGTTCTGCTGGTGGCCGCCAGGGCGGCGCTGTGCTGCCCCAACGAGAACTGGCTGGCGCTGGAGGACGGCTCGTGTTACCTGCCGCTGCCGCCCTCCATCCGCGACGCCACCGCCAACGACGGCATCGAGATGTGCCAGCAGCTGGAGCCGACGGCCAACTTCCCGCAGATCACCAGCGAGGAGCAGCAGGCCGAAGTAAGGAGAGGGAGGCCAGGGCAAGGTGCGAGAGAGTACGGCAGGAGATGGAGGCCAGGGTATGGAACAGGAGGGTGTGGCAGGGAGATGGAGGCCAGGGTATGGAACAGGAGGGCATGATACGGAACAGGGGGCCAGAGCAAGGCACTGGAGGGAAGAGGAGGCTATGGTAAGGAACAGGAGGCTATGTTAGAGAGTTGGAGGCCAGGGTAGTAAATGGGAGGACACGGTAGGGAGCGGATGGCTATGGTACGGAACAGGTAGCTGCGCTCGCCATGATCGGGCACGAACTCCCGAGTTGAATTAGACCGGGATCGCTGACTGCACGGCAGCTGGCGTGTTCTGTCGGTGCCGTATAATGGCTCTGGCTGTCCGTGTGACCGTTCGTGTGGCTGACCTGACTGTGTCCACGGCTGACCTAGCTGTCCCTAACGGCAGGTTCTGGAGCTGAACGGCGGCCACGAGATCTGGCTGGGTCTGCGCCGCTCCTCGACCAACAGTCCGTGGGTGTGGCCGAACGGGGACGCGGACATCTACACCAACTGGGCGCCCGATCAGCCGCGCGACGGCGAGTACAACTGTGTCACCATGGCAACCAACGGCAAGTGGTTCAACAAGTACTGCGGTGACGACAACACCCTCTCGACGGTCATCTGCTACTGCCATGACGACTGAGAGGATGCACCAGACGCGGATGGACGGGCGCTGCGCCGAGAGACCGTCAGCTGATGTGGGGTGTCGCCAACTGATGTAGGTGGGGATAGTAGTGATGTGGGTGATGTCCCTTGATGTTATTTTAGCTGGTGGGAGGCGTGCGAATATGACGGCGATGAGGAGGTACCAAAGTAAGCGTGATCGTCTTTCAGACAGCGCATAGAAGCGGTGGAAGTATGTTTGCATGCTTCGTTAATAAATATGGATAATAACAGATAAATAGATCCTCAAATAATTGTACAAATGGCATTTGCCTTGAACGTTGAAAACTGCAATTGGTAAACGGACCGGGGCCGGGTGTATATCAATTTGGACGCCGAATTCGGTGCGGAACAATATTTTGGACGATATTCGGTTTTTGTAAATATTAGTGACTAAGTATTGATTGTTTTCTCATTGACCACGTTGTCTTTTGCTACCTTCTCCAAGGCCTGTGAGAATCCAGCTTGCAGCCCTCCTCCCCCCCCCCCCTCCACAAACACACATAATTCCCGGGCAATGTCACAACATCGCCCTATAGCCATACATAGTTACTTTAATTAAATTGGGACTAATTTTTCTGCTCTCGACGAAAAACGGTGTAAGCTAGGAGCGTCAAACTTCAGGTGACTCCTTGAATATGATATTTCATTGACCGTAATGAGGAAAAAATTGTTTTGCAGTCCTGCGCAGAAGTGTTTCCAAGACATTTTGTATCCGGAACATATTTCGACAAGCTTCGGCGCCTTCCCATGATCTTAACTCTTTTTATTTCTCATTGTGCCCGAATAAATGCGCGGTTTTTTACTGTTACAAGCATCAGCAATTCGACCAAGACCCTTACCTGATCGTAAACTAGCTTGGCGTTCATAGGACGTTGAGTGAACCTATTCACAAGTTCAGCCATCCATACCATGCCGTTCATCGTCGGTACATTTCGCGCTGCTGTGACAGCGGTACTCAACGTTCCCATTGCTCCTGTTTGGACGCAGTTGCGATGGTCGCTGGCCCCCTGCCGTGGGAGCGCACCTTTCACCTGTCACAGTTGTGTTTGTGTTATATGAAGCGCAGTACACCCGACCCGACTGGAGACAAATGGGACACTCGTGGCTCTCAGAACAGAAAGGGTGCGCAAGTACCAATTCCTATATTTATCGTGTGAAGAGGCGTACGGTCATACAATAGATCGATCCATCATTAAACTGAAATGAAGGTACTTATCTAAGCACTTTGTAACGATCATCGATCAATATTGTCATTATATTTCTAAAGTAGACAAAAAACACTTACGCAATACAATGTCTTCAATTGTTACGGGATAATCTAAGAGAGGTGCTGTAACCTCGGAGTCAATTCGCTCATCTATGAACGGGTTAGGTTTCCATATTTCCTGCATTTGTCATTGGCGTTTCATAAAGAGCTGCCTTCCGCCAACACTTTATTACCTAGTTCAAGGGAAGGACTAGTCCTTAAAATGAGAATTTACCTCTTTTTGGATAAAATACTTTTCACAGCGGTAAGCATTTCTATGTACCTATCTCCATTCAGCTATCCTACCAATGCAAACTCATTACACATTTAAAATGAGTGTTGTCACGCAGCGAAGCTCATGAGCGGTGCCCATTAATACCCGCTGGCGTCACGGTCTGGCTCGCCGGGTATCGACATCGCTCAATGATGGTCGCCGTCCCTCATCAGTGAATGGTGCTCACACTTGTGCGCCGCAGCGCCGCGCTGCGGGGCGTCTGGGGCCGCGCTGTCGTCGACCGATAGTCACTCGCCATCATCGTGCGCTGGGCGGGGACTGGCGCCCCAGGGGAGGGAGGGGCGCTGGGCTGGAGACCGACGCTCGGCTGACACTTCCCCAGTCCTCCGGCGTCCGTGAGGCTGTCGGGTCGCGCCTCTCTGCTGGTCCGATGGAGCGGATCGGCAGTCTGCTCTCGGTAGGTCAGCGGTGGTCCGTGGAGCCGTTTGAAGAGAACAGCGGCCCTCCGACGGACCGGCGACCGCTCCGGCTGGCCGCCCTGCACGATCCACCGTACTTCATCGCTAACAGACTGGCCAATGACACCTTCAGCTACAGTGGGTATCTGAAAGACCTGTGGGAGATTATTGCACGCGAGCTGGACCTCCCCTACGAGATCATCCCGCTGTTCGGTGGTGGGTACGGCAGTGTGGACCCGAATGGTACCTGGACCGGCATGGTGGGTGAACTGGCCTATGGACGCGCCGACCTCGCCCTCACGGGTATCATCCACCGGCGCGACCGGGCCACAGTGGTGGATTACATTGACACCGTGGCCGTCTCACAGGACCGACCGACGTTCTACGTGCGCCGGGACGCGGCGGCGGCGCCGCGACTGTCGCTGGCAGTGTTCGACGCCCTGCTGCGGCCGCTGCACGCGCACATCTGGTGGCTGCTGCTCGCCTCACTGCTGGTGACGTCACTTGTTCTCCGTGCCACTGTGCGCTTCAACCACGCCGGCAGCGAGACGCGGCGCACAGCGCGAGAGATGAGCTGGGCCTGGTGCCTGCTGCTCAGCTTCATGACGCTGGTCAACCAGGGCTGGGCGAGGACGCCCGACTCGCTGGCAGCCAGAGTCGCAACGCTGGCCGGATGGATCCTCGGCATGCTGGTGTACTACACGTACACGGCCAACCTGATCTCGCACCTCACCGTCACCACTGTGGGCCGGCCCATCAGCAGTCTGAGGGAGTTCATAGAGCAGCCCGGCTGGACGTTCGCCATGGAGCCCGGGTACGGCATCCTCAACACGTGGAAGACGAGCAGTGACCCTTACGAGCGCGCCCTGTACGCCCGCACCGTCACCGGGGAGGGCTTCCTCGGACTTGAAGTCGGCGGGGAGGTGATGCGCCGCACCACGGAGCCCAAGATGATGACCTACATCGACATCGACAGGCTGCTGAAATTCATCGGCTCAGAGGGGTGCCAGATGGTGTCGCTTCTGGCCAACCTTCCGCCGAAAACCAACAATTACATGATTATAGCCAAAGGAAGACGGCAGTTGCGGGAAGATATTAATCACCTCATGGAACACCTGAATCAAGCGGGCATCATTTCCAAGCTTCAGAATACCTGGCTCAGTTCGGAAAGAAGCAGATGTGAATATTCTCATAGCTCAAGATCGCTATCCGTTGGGGATCTAATGGCAATACTGATTATTGTTCCCATGGCAGTAATCTTAGTGACCGTCATATTTGTGATTGAGTGGATTTTCTCACGAAAGAGGTACGAATATCATCCTCAAATGACGAAAGATATGAAACGTCAATTTGAGCAAGGGGTAAGAAGAAAGAATTTCTGGAAGAAAAGAAATCGGAGATGGTTTTCAACCAAAAGAATGCCTGATTAGAAAGCACCTGAACTGCAATGCAATTTTACAACGGCTCGCAACACGCGGTCACTAACATAGTTACAGTGATACTTTCTAAGCGAGGAATTGAGAGAAGAGAGGGAGAGAAAATAGTTGCAGAGACTAGGAAAACAACTAAATGCATTGGCAGCCAGACATCGTCCTTAAGATGCGTCGCTAAAGGTAGATAGAAATTAAATCAGTTGGTTAAGTGGTTTGCCCTATATGTGTACATATTTGAGCGTAAGGAGCTACACTGAACTGTCGAATGTTGAGTGATGCATGTCAATTGTCATATGGCCTATACAATATTGTAGATTATCTCACCGTATACCTGCTATATCTATTCACTTGCCAGAAAGTACCGATAGAAGAAGATAAATTATTGAGCGTGGTAGTTGGCAGAGGAGTGGTGGAGCAGTAAAAAAAGAGTTGTCATAATCATTGACGAAATAAAGTGTTCGGGAAAATAGCTTCGTTTTTGTAAATAGGTTTAATAGGTAAAATTCTAAAAAGAATTTAATCAAGATTTAACTATGAAATTATCGGTGGCCTATGAACAATAATCGGTGGCCTCGATGTTGATAAAGTAAGTTTTCTCTCGAAAGGTATTCTAGGGCTTTTAAACTCCTTTTGAATTTTTACAATCAGCCTAGTAGGGGAAGTTGGGGGAACGCCGAAGACTTTTTTTCTGAAGCCCGTAGCACGCAAGGTAGACAACATAAGCTATTCTTGTTGGCGTCATTCGAGAGGCCAGTCTTTTGCCTTTCAAACATACCAGGCGCATTTGATGAATTTGCATACCGTTAAGCGCACAAACTAAAAATATCAAAGAAGTGACTTTTTCGGCGTTGCCCCGGACTGCGGGGAAAGCCGAAAATGGGAGAAATGATCTACGGGGAATGCCGACATTGATGTTTTGCCATTTTATCTCAAACTTTATCCAGAATTGATCAAAGCTGACACGCGTTTTAAGAGCTTGAGGACGCGGTGCACACTGGAAGTTATAATTGTGTGATATAATAAGAACATGCCAGGTAAATCATTCCTTATAGGTAACAGGCCGTTGTGTCGGTTGAAAGTGCAATTTGTGTGACTAAAAATACGCGTTGCTATTCTACAGCAGTAAAGTCCACGTAGCGTGCTTTTAACACGTGCGTAATCGCACGTTTTCGGCATTACCCCTGACCCCAGCCTGCCATACTTTCATTTGCAGGCCCATAACTTTTCAACGTGCTGTATAAATTTCAAATAGGCAGCACACTTATGCAAAGACATGCTAAAGATTACTTGACCGAATTGGCCAGACAAACGGTAGCATAATGAGTAAGAAATGCAGCTTCAAAGGCGCATGTAGTACAAGGGAAACGTACCTTGAAAACGCTCTTGGCGCCCTCACAGTCGAAGTATTCCGAATGACGACTCGTAACAAACATGCGATAATTGTAGTCACTTAACCCGCGCGGGGCTGGGGGGGGTAAATTTTACCCCCCCTCGCGAATTTTTGCGATATCTCAAAAACGGCGGCGCGCAGCGCCGCCAAACTTTCAGTACCTTTTCTTACATCAATTTGACACGTTCCCTGAAAATTTGAGTGAAATCCGTCGGAAAATTTTTGAGAAATTGACGTTTTAGTGACGTCATGTTCGCCATTTTCGCCTCAAAAACGGCAAAAGTTCAAACGCCGCTAACATCTTCATTTTTAAAGGAATCAAGACGTAACAAAAAAGGTTATACGTAATTTTACTTTGTCTATCAAATGGCTATCTCGGTTTTTTGAAAATTTTGGATTTTGGCCTAAATTTTTTCAAAAACTGATTTTTTTGGGAAAATCATTATAAAATCCAAAATTTTGAGTCTATCGAAAAAACCGGAATATATGTCAGAGAAGTGGTCTATGTGCACCTACATACCAAATTTTAGAAGAATCGGTTCAAAAATGTGGGAGTTATTCAAAATTTTATGACGTCACGACACACAAAATTTTTGAAAAATGACTTTTTTGGAAGTTCTAGACCTCGTACGGAAACAAAAATAGCACCATTCGATTCGCCGTGAAAAACTGCATCAGATAGACACCTTTTTAGGCCTTAACAACCAACTTCAAAATTTGACCTCACTTGACCTGACCTTGACCTGACCTCGACCTGAAATTCATCCAGAGGTGGTCCATATCACTTATTGAGTGTGCCTATTGAATTCTATGAGTAAAATGACCCATAAAACATGTGTCGCACATGCCCTTTTCTATATTTTGTTTTTTGGTGACCTGACCTGACCTGACCTGACCTTGACCTTGACCTCTGAATGATATTGTATGCAACGAGTATTGTCTTGTTAGACTAAGAACACGTTTTGGGCGATCAGTCTCAGTCCATGACTCCATTCTTCGGCAACTACGGTACAAGGCCGATACTGTAGAAACTTGCAATTTGTACCCTTGACCTGACCTTGACCTTGACCTCAAACTTTAAATTAAGTACATGTTTTTAGTAGTTCGTGATGAGAGCTTTCGATTGGCGTTTGAATTTTCCAAATCGGACCATTAGTTCGGGAGATAACAGGGGGGGTAAAATTTACCCCCCCCCCCAGCCCCGCGCGTTCGGCTGGAGACCCCAGCCCCGCGCGGGTTAAGCTTCAGAGCATCACTGACAGGTGGCATCCATGTCTTATGGTTTTCGAAATATCTCGAATTTCGGCTTTGCCCCAACTCCGGCATTGCCCCAACTTCCCCTAGTTTCAAAGATGGGGGGGCTCCCCCCAGTCAACTGGATAATGGAACATACCGCAGTCGTGAGCGGGCTATCTCGCTGTCGCTTATCCTGATGCTAGCTCGTTTACAGTCGGTTACAGGCTGATCAATAAGATTTTATCAAAGGCGCGGGAGATTCTCATCCGGCGACCCGCATTGGTGTCGTGCGGTGTGAAGTGAATAGGCTGTACCGCTCAGCACTCGGGTCAAGCGGCACAGTCTACCAGTACCTGGCGGCGTCTGCCAGGGCTGAGGCAAAGGTAACCGTTGGATAGAGTCCCTATCGATCTTTTGTAAGCGACTGTAAGTCTGTATGCAGCATAAGAGCTCACACCCAAGCGCTGCGCCGTATCGGAACGTTAGTGACGCTGGCAAAACACCCTCTGGTGAATTTCTGTGCCGCCTACGGCAGCAGTGCTCCCATGGATAGCTCACTACTGACGGAAGATAAGTGGATTTACTTCCACTTCAGCTTTACCTGTGCCTTTCTCGTGTTTCGGGTCGAACCTGGTAAGTCTCCATCCATTGTTTTCCCGACTGTCTTTGTTCTAACGCATTGTTCTATCTGAATGTCGCATTGTCGAGTCTCGAGCCTCTGTTTGATCCATATACGTTTGCGTGATCAACGCTACATGTTCACTCTCCCTTTTTACTTTGGCTTTTGTTGGTGTTATTAGTTTGTCTCGTCTTTAATGCATTAGAGAGGTGAACTGAATATAAAATGCGCATACACAACTGTTGAGTTACGTCATAGAGAAAATGAACCGGAAGGAAGCTGAAGTAAATCAACCAGCAACGACTGAAGTATTACAACCGGCATCACAAGTCTATCCCGAAGCTAGACATTCCACACATCCTGACCCCACTCACATGAACACAGCTACGACCGCTCCCACCAACAGAACCGAGGCGGCGCGCAGAGCGTCCGGAGCCGCTCCCGTCTGGTCGTGGTGGTGCAGCGTCGTGAGAATGATCCTCTCCTCCCGGGGCACCGCCATCGGCGACAGCTTCCGCATCAGCTTCCGCGCCGCGTCCCGCAGCGTGATGTTGAGCGGCTCGTACTGGAGGCCGCTCTTGAACTGGGAGAACACCAGCTTTACGCACGTCTCGGAGCTGACCAGTCGGTACGTGTAGCGGTGGTTGACGGCCTTGAAGGCGGGCATCTGGCACACCGTGCAGAGCACCTTCATCAGGTGCACCGTCATCGCCTTTCCGTCGTCGGGGTCGGGCGCGATGTCGAGCCGCACCCCGGACACCTGGAGGCCCGAGTAGACGCCCGAGCGGACGGCCGCCTCCAGCAGGGAGACCAGTCGGCGACCGAGCACAGAGACGATCACCAGACGGTCGTCGAGCGGCAGCGCCACGCGCAGATCCTCCTCGTACACCAGTCCCGCCGAGATGCTCGACTGCACCACCCAGCCCTGGAAGATGACCGTGCCGGCGCGCGTCCACGCCAGAATGTCGTTCCCCTTGTACTCGGGCTGGATGGAGGCCTCCAGCATGGCGTCGGCGATGAGGGTGCCGAGCGCACACTCAGAGTCGCGACAGTGCCCCCCGCCCTCCAGCATGTAGAGGGAGCGCGCCACCAGACCGCCGAGCAGCTCGCTCTGGTTGGGTCGCAGGCGCGCCATGACCGCCTCGGCCGCGGCGTCTTTGTCACCTGTTAGCAGGCGCGGGTTGTCGCCGTCCCACTCACTGATGCCGCCGCCGGGAGCCACCTTGATCCGCAGGTAGCCGGCGTAGTGGAGCATGTTGTGCGAGGCGACGGCCAGCAGCGGCTTGCCTCCGCCAGGCCGTTCCAGTGTGGCCGGGTGCGGTCCGTGAGCCACTTCTCCGTGAGGAGAGGGACCGTTGTAGAACAGGTGGCCTGCGTTACCGGTCACCACCAGGTCAATATCCGTGAGCTCGTTGGCGATGATGGACATGTTGTCGCTAGACACCATCCAGCTGCAGTAGATGAGACCGATGATGAGACGGGCGCCCTGGCTGCGCAGGCGTTTGGCCTCCTCCTGTACCTGGCTCAGCGGTTTGGATTGAATACCCGCCGGTGGTTCGTCAACTATGAGTTCCACGGTGTTCGGCGCTAGGTAGCTGACGATACCGACTTTGACCCTGCCGACGGTGAGCATCATGCTGGCGTTGCACGGCGGTGCGCCGGCGCTGGCGTTGACCTGCGGCACGAGGCCACCGGTGCACACGAACGGGACGCCTACGAGCGCTATGTAGCGCCGCAGCGCCTCCAGGCCGCCGAGCAGCTCTGGCCTCCCGAGTGCCATCACATCGTAGCCGACCAGACTCACCAGGTCGGTGAGCAGCTCCGGAGCGGACGGGTTGTCCAGCAGCGCCGTGTTGAACTGGCCGCCGGCGTCCACCACGAGCACGGCGTCGGCGCGCGCGCGCTCCTCGCGCACCACTTGCACCAGTCGCGGCATGCCGCCGTAACAGTAGGCGCCCGCGCGGCAAGCCTTCGGAGAGGCGCCCGACTCGTCAAAGTGGGACTGAGTGTCGCTGGTGTGAATCAGGGTTACCCAGTCGCCGCCGTCCTCCGAGTAGACTTGTGGCAGCAGCGTGACGAGCACACAAACCAACAACAGATGGCGGCTTCTGGAGACTATTGCAACTACTGTCGTAACCAAAGATAACATACTGTTTGACTGTGTTACGTAACTAATAAATTAAAAAGCTTGAGCCAATAAGTTTCAAGGGGCAACCAAAAGTGCACTGACATGTGTTTCGTGTTTTGAGAACAAATGCCTCATACGGTTAAAGTAAGACGATATACGGGCTTGAAGTGCATTTTGCTTGCTTCAGGAGCAGACGTCCTCTCCAGTTCCAGGCCTCACATATATTGACTTGTGGGAATCACTCGGACACGTACATTTTAAATATATTCCACGTGCCTTGGTTTAAGTGTTGTCCACATCTAACTATGTAAGGGAAAATGTATGTATCTGCTTGATCATCGAACGTTCCAAATAACAACAAAACACAACACGGATCAAGCATTTTCATCTTCATGGAACTATGAAGTGGGGCAAAAATCATTTGCTTGCCTAAAAACGGTTCACCGGGTCACTTTCCAAGCCACGGTAATCCAAATGATTTTCTTTGGCTGCGTGTTAGATTTAGTTTAAACTGGCACCGTCGCGACGGTCAAGGCCAAATCGTAACACCTCGACGTGTGCACACTACTGCACAGGCATTAGCGTTTTATCCCCCCCCCCCTCTCCCCTAGCTCGGTTTCTTTAGGCTACATATATCAGGTGGCGAAAGGTGACAAATGCTTACGACAATACTGAAGTTATTTCGTTGGCTAGAACAAGTGGCAACTAGGACGTCCCAAAAGGGCATTTCCCCAAGCTGGACAATTTTTTTTTTCATTTTTGACGAAAAACCTGGTAGGCAGGCATTAACCCTTTTCACTGAAACGTAGAGCATGGGTCCTGGCAGCATAATTTGTTTCGCAAATTATCGCATTATCATGCTATCAATAACTGTATTTAATCTCGACAAATATGCATGGTTCCATTATAAATATTCCGCTACCTAGCTGTATTTATTTACTTGATCATTTATTTATGCAGTTATTTATTTTTATCCCGCACCGTAGACAGTGTTTCCAATTGCTCCACGTGCAAAGAGAGAAGATTATCAGATGTGGATTAACTGATTTGTTTAACGTCTAGACCAGTCTAGACCTAGGTATACTATATAGGGCCTTGGTCTAGACGATTAACAAACTGTTAAACGTCTAGTAGACATTTCGTCTAATCTGAAATATGTCGTATTTTTATATAAAATGTATTTTTAACCTTTAAGCGCCCGAAAGATATCGGTGGTACGGGATGAAATCATTAAACCGCTCGTAGGTAGAAAATATTTTAAACGTCTCGCCTATCGGCTCGACGTTTAAAACATTTGTTATACCTCCTCGCGCTTTAATATATATTCTATTGTTTATCCATCTTTTCATTCGCATATTGAGGTAGGCATTCATTTATCTATTACTGAATGAAATTTATGGGATTTTATATACTGTGACAGCCATGGGCATTGTTAAGATCATCACCATCATGCAAACTATGCGGATCAAGCTGATAAGAAATAATAAAAGAATGCGTGTTACACTATATATTAAACCGCGAGTAGGTAGAACAATTTTTTTCGAGCCGATAGGCGAGACGTTTAAAAGATTTGTCTACCTACGAGCGGTTTAATAATTTTATCCCGTACTGCCGATATCTCCTGGGCGCTTAAAGGTAAAAAGATTATTTGCCTTTTATATAAAATACGACACATTTCAGACTAGACTAAATGTCTACTACATAGACGTTTAACAGTTTGTTAATCGTCTAGAGTTAGACGCTTAGCAAATCAGTTAAACGACATCGGATAATTTTCTGTCTTTGCACGTGAAGCAATTCTAAATATTGTCTACGGTGCGGAATAACAGTTTGTTAATCGTCTAGACCTTTAAAAATAAGTTAAATGACACCTGATGATTTTCTCTATTTGCACGTGAAGCAATTGTAAACACTGTCTACGGTGCGGGATAATAATAGGCGTGGTAATAAAAGAGACACGACCGCAGCCCTACAAGAGACTATATATTAAAGCGCGAGTAGGTAGAACAAATCTTGTAAACGTCGAGCCGATAGGCGAGACGTTTAAAAGATTTTTCTACCTACGAGCGGTTTAATAATTTTATCCCGTACCGCCGATATCTTTTGGGAGCTTAAAGGTTTATACGTACGGCTTGTAAGGTTTTATACGTTTTATATAAAATATACGACATATTTCAGCAAAGCAAGAAACAAAGAGAAGCAGAGACAGATGAAGCTTTGAAAAACGGTCCAAACAATGTGATCGGTCTGAAATTGACAGGTACATTGAAGATCAAGTCCCAAATACAACTAAAAAAAGAAAAAGCAAATGATGTTTCATTGCGTTTCCCTGCGCATACTGGTGAAATTAACTAGACGGTAAAATGGCAGAAATGTCTACTAGGCGTTTAACAGTTTGTTAAGACGTTTAACAAATCAATTTAACGACACCTGATAATTTTCTCTCTTTGCACGTGAAGCAATGTTTAACACTGTCTACGGTGCGGGATAAAGCCATTTAATTGCATAATCCATCACGCACTCAGCAGGGATCATTGAAAGCACACATTTTACTTCCGATTGCCGAACCTAACTCTTCGCAGCTGTGCGGAGAACTAGCATAAGTAATCATTTCTGTGGAAATCAAATGGCGAAAGAGCTCATTTCAACCGACGGGGCCGCCGTCCGATCTTCACCTCAGAGATGAAGTATGTCGGATTTCTTTATTAGTTTCCCGAAAGTCCCTCGCATCCATGACCTTTGCCCCGCTATAAACCGTTGCCTGATCACTCCACTGGAGGCTGGCCCGATACTCGACTGGCGACAGTCAGTGAACTCTGCCCACCGGCGGACTTTGGTCCCCAGACCGAGTGACGTCACCGATCGGACGGCTCGGCGGCGGAGGGCGGGGCGGGATGGGGCGCAGACTGTATTCGTGTGTGAGGCGCAGCCGGGGCGCTCGGCAGGGATTGCTGTGCTACGGCTGAGCTGAGAACCCAACCAGCGCGCTGTATCGGCGCCTGGCACGCAGCTGTGGTGCTGTCTGTGCATCTGTGGTGCGCCCGTGTCCCGCGGTGCACCCGATGATGAAGAGGTCCTCCGGTGTGCCGGTGCCTCTGACCATGCTCGGCTACCCCGTGGTGCTCACCTATCGGATACTCACATCGTGCTTTGACTCGGTCATGATGGTAAGTGACGTTTGTTATTTGTCAACACATTGCGTTCAAAAACAGCATGACGCTGCTTGAAACCGGTAGAAAGCGACGGCTGGCATAAACTTTCAGTATGTACCCTCGATTCATTTTTACTCATTTATGAAATACGGCCCTGACCCAAATGACCTTTGCCTGGGACCTTTTCCTCGAGACCACGTTTTTTTCCTATTCGGTGTACTGGCGTCAGCGCATATCAATTATCATCCGAGCGTTTCCAGGCTTTTTGTTATTTGTATTAGAAACGTGCCAATAACCCGTATAAAATGATGTCTGTTACATGAATTACAAGAATTACATGTCTGTCGTCGATGGTGACTCCGTGGCCACATTTCGCACCAGGCGCATATGTTTTGTTTATTTTACATGTCGATAGCATTCACTTTTTTATTGCGCTATGATGCCGCGTTTTTATCACTGTGATGTTATTGCGTGTGCTGTGTTACATGTATGACTCTGTGGCGGTAATAGCCAACCAGGTCAAGGTTGGATCCCACATCCATCAACAATACGATACAATACAATTATACTTAACCCGCGCCCCACTGCACTGGGGAGGGGGCTATTCAGTATTCATAGTCCTCTCTCGTTTTTTCTGCAATAACTTCTAAACCGCTAGACGTATCAACGCGACGCTTCAAGTACCTTCGGCTACATTGATTTTACACCTTGTGTCAAAATATGAACATTGCAGTTACCATTAGATCGGCCGGAAATGACGTCAGAGCGATGTGATGTTCGGCCGATTTCGATGCAAAGCATTGAACAACGGCAATTGCTCTAAAGAGCTCAGTTGGCGTCTGATAGAGGCACGCTAGAGCGGTGAAAACACGTTAGATGTGTTAGGCTCGACGCTACGGATCGACTGATACCTATGCAACATGACCTACCTTGACCTGAGGGCAAATTTTCCAATTGACCTTTCAATGTGTTCATTCGACGCGTCGACGAGACGAACACGATGCTGGCAAAATAATGTCGTGACTCTCTCAAGAGTCAAAGGTTATAGGAGAAAACCTTTTTCGTAAAGACGGCTGTTTTTAGTTTTAGCCTTCTGCACTGCTAAACCTGAGGTTGACCTTAGGTCAAATCTGATGAAGAACGCCAGAAAGAGGGTTAAAAGGGTTATCGAATTCACGGTTCCGCGGTGCTTTAGCTCTATTGGTTCCATCCGGGTTCGATTCCCGGGCAATGCACGTGGCATTGCCGCTACCTGACCGCTTGGAACAGCGTGAGAGTTCCGGTTAGCACCTTGGTCCACTGGATGTGGTGCTTAGCCCAAACCAACCAACCAACCAGCTCTATTGGTTCTCAAGTTATTGCCAGTGTTTTGAAGAACAAAAATTAAAATAGGCAACGTTTCACGTTTGATGACCTCTGGTAAACTGATCTTTGACCTGACCTAAAAAATGGCCGGTATGTTTCCGTCCTTATTTTGGACGTTCTTTCGAATACCGTTTATCGCGTGTCGCTACATAGCCTAGGAGCCGAGTTAGAGGGGCGTGTTCAAACTCCCTTCCCCCCGCAGGGCGTAGAAATCCAGGACACCCAGTGGATCGCGGGCTAAGTTTTAAAAATTCAGTGTAGTTTGTGCGGTTGGTAGTTGGTCTTGGTACC